AAATACAGTGAGGTGGGGGAATTCGGATCAGAGCTACCAAGAAATCACTTTGTTTATCTTCGTTCTCATCTATTATACATCGTATAGAAGAAATTTTTTTTAAGAGAAGTAGAGTGAGATGTTCTCTATCAAATCACGAAAGAATTACCAAAAAATCATTTACTGTAAAAAAGTATCATGAAAAATACTAAAAGCAACTTTGAAATGATCCGAGTTACCCCAAATGGGGTAATTCGGATCAACTAGGTAATCAAGGTGGGGTAATTCGGATAATTACAGCAAAAACATCAGTAGTATTTTCCCCCATCTCATAACTCATTTTTTATCCATCTTCGAAAAATTACTAAATATACCATTCGATAGCTCAAAGTGTCTACTATGGGACCTGAGAATATTTGGACGATTCAGTGAAACGTTGATGATGAAATATTCGTTACATTAACACCTTCCTTCAGTACTTTTTAAAAACTGAAATTGAATTCAGGGTAATTCGGATCATCTAAGCAATTTACCCGGGGTAATTCAGATCACTCCAGCTATTTCACCTGGGGTAATTCGGATCACTAAAGTTGTCTTTTCATGCTGATTTTTAATCTAATTCTAACTTTATAGCAAAATAATTACCATATTCGGAATCAGCACAAAAAACTACCCGAGAACATATACATTTCAGCAAAAAACATTTTTTATGAAAAACAGCTGATGTCTCCCCCAAGGAATTTTTTCGCAATATTGGGCTGAGATCCCCTCCAGGATGTTTTAAATCAGCATGAAAAGACAACTTTAGTGATCCGAATTACCCCAGGTGAAATAGCTGGAGTGATCTGAATTACCCCGGGTAAATTGCTTAGATGATCCGAATTACCCTGAATTCAATTTCAGTTTTTAAAAAGTACTGAAGGAAGGTGTTAATGTAACGAATATTTCATCATCAACGTTTCACTGAATCGTCCAAATATTCTCAGGTCCCATAGTAGACACTTTGAGCTATCGAATGGTATATTTAGTAATTTTTCGAAGATGGATAAAAAATGAGTTATGAGATGGGGGAAAATACTACTGATGTTTTTGCTGTAATTATCCGAATTACCCCACCTTGATTACCTAGTTGATCCGAATTACCCCATTTGGGGTAACTCGGATCATTTCAAAGTTGCTTTTAGTATTTTTCATGATACTTTTTTACAGTAAATGATTTTTTGGTAATTCTTTCGTGATTTGATAGAGAACATCTCACTCTACTTCTCTTAAAAAAAATTTCTTCTATACGATGTATAATAGATGAGAACGAAGATAAACAAAGTGATTTCTTGGTAGCTCTGATCCGAATTCCCCCACCTCACTGTATTTGATTAAAAATTATTTTCAAATTTTGTTAATTCTTTAAAGAGAAATAAAATTATTTAATAAAAACACGTTATTAGATTTTCATCACTTTACATATTTTAAAGCAAAAACATTCAAATATTTTTATTTTCCATAACCATTCAGAATAAAAGACACATTTTTCTTTTATCTTAAAGGAAACAAAATTCGATTTTGTAATAATCGCAATAATAATTGATCATTTCATTTCTTTGGTATTTTTATTGAATGAATTATTCGAAAATAAAATATGATATTTTATTTCTGTTTATATTGAAAATTAATCTATCTTATCATTCAAATGAATAATTTCGAAATGAATATTGGGTGTGAATGAAATCGAATAACCACACCCTCAAGATTATTTTCAAAATCTTTATCATTATATTGTTTTATTTCGATTAGTTTATTCGATTTTAAGTGAGTAATATGTTTTATTAGTCGTCTTTTACTATTTTATTTTTTCAAAATAATAAAAAACTATTTTCATTATTATTTTATTTCATAAATTATTTCAATTTACTTTTTTTTTTATTATTTTAATGTTGATTTCTTAAGAAAGCTAAAAAACAATTTCCGCCTCATTTAAATATTTAAAATGTTTTATTTTCATCATTTTCTAGAACCAAAATTCAACAAATGGAAACAAAATGCTATTACTGTAGCTGGTATAAATGGACCAGGACAACATTTATATCAACTCAATTTCCCACACGGAATCTTTATTGATAAAAGCAAAAATATTTTCATTGCTGATTATTGGAATCATCGTATTGTTAAATGGAAATATAATGCAAAGAAAGGAAAAATCATTGCAGGTGGAAATGGACAAGGAAATCGAATGAATCAATTGAATGAGCCAAGAGATGTGATTGTTGATCAAAAAAATCATTCGATCATCGTTGCTGATCAAGGGAACAGACGAGTGATTCAATGTTTGAATCAAAATCAACAGATTCTCATTCACAATATTCACTGTTATGGCTTGGCAATGGATAAAAATGGATTTCTTTATGTTTCTGATTTTGGGAAGAATGAAGTGAGAAGATGGAAAATGGGAGAATATAACAGCGAAGGAATTGTAGTGGCAGGTGGAAATGGACAAGGAAAGAAACTCAATCAACTCAATTGGCCTACTTTTATCTTTGTTGATAAAGATCAATCAGTTTATGTATCAGATAGAGAAAATAATCGTGTGATGAAATGGAAAAAAGATGCAAAAGAAGGAACAATTGTGGCTGGAGGAAATGGCGGAGGAGATAATCTTAATCAATTGTATTATCCTCAAGGAGTAGTTGTTGATGATTTGGGTCAAATCTATGTGGCAGATCGTTCGAATCATCGAGTAATGCGTTGGTGTGAAGGAAGAGAAGAGGGTGAAATTGTTGTTGGTGGAAATGGTCAAGGAAATCAATCAGATCAATTGAATTATCCCATGGGTTTATCTTTTGATGCTGAAGGAAATCTTTACGTTACTGATAGTTGGAATCATAGAGTTGAAAGATTTGAAATAATTTTGTGAATGAAATTTTGATTCTGAAATAAAGAAAAGAATTTTTTTATTGAATAAAAAATTGAGAAATAAAAATAGAATAAAAGATCAAGTTTTATTATTGAAAATTGAGTTCGGTTGAACAAAACAAATGTTGAGAAGATTTTTATTTGATAAATTAACAAATTTTATCATTTTGCAATTTAATCTTTTTTAATTTGAGGGAACTTTGGATAAAAATGCAATTAGACATGAACAGTCTCAAGATGTTTTTGCTCAAAGATGATATCTTAGAACAGTACGTATGAAATGTGTTCGTACAGAAAATAAGTGTTCTGAACATTCGGATTAATAATAAAAAAGATTTAATAAATAAATCATTCTTTTTTATTTATTCTTTTAGAAATGCATTTACCATAAAAATACAAACTAATTAACAATACAATAATTGGAAAATAATATTAAAATCTTCATATTAGTGATGTATCATTAGACAATTGACCAACACTGAAAAAAGTCATTGTATTTGAATGATGGGATAAATAATTAAACATTGAGATATATACAAAATAAAATATTCACTTTTGAACTTGACACTTTTATTCAATTCTTTAAGTGAATACTGAAATTCTATTGGGGTTATTGAGTAATATATATACCCTTTAACCTATGTTTCGTGTCTATAAACTACTTGAATATCAACGGAAATGTTTCATACCGTCAAATTGAATTTTATAAAAATATTCCGAGAAAAATTTATATAATTTTTTTGTAATTTACAATGCAAACTCGTCGATTGTCTTTTTTTCTATTCATGATTATAGTCGACTTAATTGAAACTACATAAAGAAGGTGTATAATATACGAAGAAGGAAATTAAAGTTTGAGTAAGTGTATTCTTAAATAATGGGATCCATATGGTTGACAGATAAAAAACAATAGTAACGCATTCTTTTTCATTTTCTATAGGAAATTTAATCATTTAAAGAAACAAAATTTGTGTTATTGTATTATACGTTCTTCATCTGATTCCGGATGTTTTTTCTATGTTGTCGTCTACCACTTGTCATTCGTTTATTCTTAGAATTAATTATAACGATTATTGTGATTCATGAAGAAAACGGACGTCTGA